GGGGCGCGGGAAGCCTTCTCTTTCTCATATAGAGCTGTCGGGAGTTTTGAGCTGTTAACCTTATAGTTAGCAGCCCAATGTGTAGCCCACTGTGCTATCGGGACCAAGAGCAAACCATACAGTTGTGCCAGTCACCCTTCTGTAGGTTTTTCCTCCATGAATAGTAGCCCACTACACCCAATTCCAGTCCAGAGACTTGGACATCAGCCTGATTCCTTCTTAGCCCCACATTCATATCCATGACCACATTCTGTAGCATTTTATCTTTCAGGTGTACCTTGAATCTATTTTTCTTTCTTTCTTATCTACCTTACTACTTCAAGCCTCCATCTCCCTAGGTATTACTGCAGGAGTCTTGAAAGTAAGTTTTTTGCATTCAGTCTTGCTTCCAGACTGTAGACAAGTGCCTTCTGATAGTCACAGCTGACCAAGACAAACACTTCCACGGTGTCCTGTAAGTGGAGCACCGTAAAATCCTCCTAACCTGGCTACCAACGCTCTTTGGGACAGTCCCTGCTTCCCTATTCAGCCTCATATCTTACCAACTGGTGGGCAGCGAGGCGCTCCAGCCCAAAGGAATTCATCCAGTTCCACTACCTGCTTCTGGAGAAACCCTCCCTCTTTCCTCCTCTCAAATTGTCCTGAATTTGAATTACCCCTTCTTGTTCTTCAAACCATGGCTTCCATTTTCTCTAAGCCTTCCTAAAGTATCCGGAAGGTACCCTAGATGACTCACGCCTTGGGTTACAATGGGAAAGCTGTGCCCTTGCAAACACCCAGAGGTGCCTGGGAAGAAAAGCCCAGAGAAGTGCTCCTTCATGTCACAGCCACAAAACCTTCCTGGAGAGCCAACCCCACTGTGAAACACATGGGGTGCCATGGGGTGGAATCCACATCAGAACGTCCACTCACGGACACACTCACTCTCTCGCCATCGAGCCAATTCCCACACCCATAGCCCTATGGGACAAGGTAGCTCTGCCCTCGTGGGTACCTGGAACGGTACGGGGGTAGAAAGCCTCATCTTTCTCCAGAGGAGCGGCTGGTGGTTTCAAACTGCTGCCCTTTGGGTTAGCAGCCCACTCCACTTAGGTGTAAATTTTCTTGAGGATGCGTTGTCATTCGGCCTTGTTCGCTGGGGTATCCTGTTGGTCATAAGAAAGTTACCTTATGCGAGTGCTGAATTAATGAACACACATTTTAATGCGCACATATTTTAATTATGTGACTGCCATCATCACTTGAGAGGTGCTATTTAAGAGGGCTCTGATGCACACTGATACACCCTCGGAGGAAGCCTTCTGGTTAGTTTGTTTGCCGGGTGTGTGTTTTACTTAAGCGCCTTGGGACACTGGGCCTTCATATAGTGGCGCATATCTACGCCAGCATCGAGGGCTCTCTCCCTCGCGGCTCGAGCAGTAAACCCACGGCACATCTGGATTGTTTTAAGACAGAGGCATCCTCCGTTTCAGACGTGTTTTACGGTGGTTCTCCACCACAGATGCAACAACGGTTGCTCATCGACCTAAACTGGGTCTACCCCCCTGAAGGGAGGGGTGCCTGGTGGCTACCCTGTGGGTGGGAGATCAAGTGTCTGATGGAGAAGTCCGTTGAAGGGAGGCAAGCCCCCCGCCTAGTTGTTGGGGGTCAGTAACAGACTAAACCACACTCCATTCAGCCTTCTCACACACAGCAGCCTGGCCTTATTTAAGAGGAAGTGTGGGGCGGAAGGAAGTGGGCATAAAAGGGTGCAGGGCCCTGAGTCTTGGAGTGAATAAACCCTAACGTCTTTGTCACCAGCATGTTCCCTCGGCGGCTTGAGTTCAGTTCGTTTGTGCTTGTGCATCAGCCTCTAGTCGATTTCTCTAGCGGTTGCTTACACCCTAAACATCAGATAAAGAGATAACCCCAAGGTCCCTGTCGGTCCCCAGCCGCAGTCCCCACAGCTGGGTTTGTGGCTGGGCTGGGGGGCCACGCCCGACAAGCCGCGGAGAGGGGCGCGTTTGGGCCACCCCGCCGGGCGTCCAGGCCGGAGGCCTGTGAAAAGGGAAGCCCAGTCCCCACCGCACCTTTCCTGGGACAAATCCGGGGCAGCCGCTCGGTGGGGTGCCCCGGCCAGGACCAGGTCTCCCAGCGCCCTCTACAGCCGCACTGCGGGGGACACGGCGCCGGCTCTGCGCCTCTCCACCGCGCCCGGGACCTCACCCGGCGGCCCGCACCCGCACCCCCCGCACCCGCACCCCGGGACCACGGAGAGGGGCGCGCGGCTTTGCGATCCCGCTGTGCTCGCCCCGCCCGCTGCGGGCAGACTGCCCCGCCTCCCCACCCCCCTCCCCCGCCGCCGGCCGCGCAGCGCCGCGCCGCTGCTCTTGGGGCGCTCTTCCCTCCGGCCGAGTGTCGCGTCCCGCGCAACTCTGGGCCGTGGTCACTTGGGGTTGGATGTAGCCCGCCGAGCGCGCATGGCTGAGGAAGCGAGGCGCGGGGCCGGGCCCCGAGCGGCCGCCGGCCGGGAGCTGGGGATGCTGCTGCTGCTGCTGCTATGCCTGGGGGTCCCCCCGGGGCGCCCCTACAACGTGGACCCGGAGAGCGCGCTGCTCTACCGGGGCTCCCCCGGCACCCTCTTCGGCTACTCCGTGGCGCTGCACCAGCACGGGACCCACCGATGGTGAGTGCCGCGGAAGCCCGGCCTCTGGAGGAAAACTTTCGGGCTCCGCAGGCGATCCGCGGGATCTTCCATGCGCGCCCTGCCCGCGGGCCGGCCGCTCCGACCGCGTCGCGGGGGACTCCCCCGGGGCACTCGCTTCTGGGGGGGCCGGCGGCGCCCGGGGTGCGTCCTGGCGCCAGGTCCCGGCGCGGCGGGGTCGGGGTGGTGGGCGCCGGCGGGGAGGTGGGCGCTGCGCCCCTGCGGAACCCCGGAGAGGTGCCGGCGGGTGGCCGGGCTCCTGGCGGTGCTCAAGTGCGCACTTCTCGCTCTAGGCTCCTGGTGGGAGCGCCCACTGACACCTGGCTCGCCAACGCCTCGGTGGTCAAACCCGGGGCCATTTACCGGTGCAGGATCGGCCAGAATCCGCGCGGCTCCTGCGAACAGCTCCAACTGGGTGAGTCCGGTCCCTGTTCCCTCACGTGGATCGCACCACAGAGCAAATTCTGGGTGAAAGAAAGAAAGATATACATTGTGCCGCCTGTTCCTTCTACTTTCCCGCATGTGGTTTTCCACTCTGAACTCCACACGATCTTCCCTGTCAGTATGTCTTTCTATCACTCTTTTCCTACTTCTTCCTGAAGGCAACGATCTCAACACTCCCCCCCCCCAATATGGAGAAGAAACTTAATTCTCATACCTTCCCCACAAGCCTCTGCCCTGCAGTGTAAAACACATTTTATAGTCTGCCAGCCCAGCCAAGACTGACGAATTTTATTTTCATCTTTGACCTATCAACTTTGCTAAAGATGGGACAGATCGGAAATAGCCGTGGGAATTGCCCCATATCCTGTCATTTCGCCTCTGGGGTTTTAACCCAGAACCTGAGAGTCTTACTCCTAATATGAAATGTGAAAGACCAGGAAGGAAGGGGAAAAGTGGCAGCGCACTGTGAGTATAATGAAAAAAGGGGGATCCTGTGTTAGGCTCTTCTCCCCAGACTGATGGTTCCCTCCATTTGCACTCATTGCTTTCACGCCTCTTCTTAGGTTTGGGACAACTCAAACTAAAACGAAAAGTGTTCTGATAGGGGAAGGGAGGAAGTTCATGTTTCAAAGCCGAAAAACAAATTTGCCTCACATAAGCACATGGGGGAAGAAAGGGGAACTCATATTCATTAATTCATGTCTAATGTGTTGTCCCACTCGTGGCTAGGTACTCGGGGCTTCAAAAACAAAAGAGACAAAACACTCTTGGAAAGTTGAGGTTAAAGGATTTCCACCACCCCCCAGCCCCCCCCTCCTGTGTAAACTTTTTTGAAAAGCTTCAGACCTTCACCCCCTGCTTGCTTACTTACTTTCCCTCAAAGCATCGCTGGACCCTGGTTGTCATTGTCCCTACTCTGCACATGAGGACCCTGTGGCTCAGAGAGTGGCAGCTACCTTTTCTCTTAACACTCAGTGAGCAGCAGTAGGTAGTAGAGGGGACAGATGCAGTGTTTCATGCAAATGAAGTGAAATGAAATGACGTGTCCCATAGGTGGTCTGGTGAGCCCAGTGGGTCACCTGTAAGTAAGGGTGAACCAAAGGTTACAACTGCTGTTTTAAAAAGTGTTTATCTTTGCGATAGACTTTTGAGATGAATGAGTTATTGCGTCTTCCATCCTTTGCCCTTTGCTGGCAAACTTTTTTCACTAGGGTGAATTAAAATGTAGCATGTCCATCATGTGATCTTAATGTTTCACTCAGAGAAGTCTCACTCCCAAAACCTAACTCACTGCCGTCCAGTCCTTTCAAACTGACAGCAACCCTATTGGACAGAGTAGAATTGCCTCTCTAGGTTTCTGATGCTGTGGCTTTTTTGTTTATAAATGGGAGCACAAAGCCTTTTCTTTCTTGCCCTTAAAAGTCTAGAGTTGAGAGGCTTCTTCACTAAAGTGGGGAGCCAAGTTGTTCTTGGGTGTCTATTCTTAGTCTGGAAGCTCTGCAGAAACCTGTTCACTTTGGGTGACCCTGCTGGCATTTGTGATACCAGTGACGTAATTTCCAGTATTGCAACAATACACGAGCCACCACAGTAGGACAAATGGACAGACTAGTAGTGATTTCTTGATCAAGGTCCTATCAAACCAAACTCACAGCCTTCAGGTCGTTTCCTATTAAGGGCAACCCCTTAGAGTAGGATAGAAGTGTTCCTTGGGCTACCAGACTGGGGCTCTTTAAGGGAGTAGAAAGCCTCTTTAGAAAAAATTAAAAAGTCTAGAGTTGTCTCTAGCATGTAGATTAAGCTGTAGTCTCTCATTAAGCACTTCATATGGCAAAAAAATGAAACGAGCAATACATAACATACTTACAGCCTAATGCAGTTGGAATACACCTTAAAGCAGGGAAAGATATGACAAAATACCAATTTATAAACTATCGAGGGCTCATGAGGGAGGGGGAGCGGGGAGGGAGGGGAAAATGAGGCCCTGATATGGGGGGTTTGGGTGGGGAGAAAATGTTTTGAGAATGATGTACAAATGCGCTTTACACAATTGATGTGTGTATGGATTGCGATGACAGTTGTATGAGCCCCTAATAAAATGTTAAAAAAAAAATACATTGAAACACTGTGGGCTAGAGAATGGATGGGAAGGGTGGACACCCTTGGTCTCCCAGAGGAGCTTGACCAGGCCTCAGGAAGGGGAAAAACGGGATCATGCCTGCCGTCCTTTCACTGTTTGCTGATCCTTGACATTATAACAACTGGCACCCAGCATCTACTTCCTTCCGGGAAGGGCACTAATGCTATTTCTAGATGCCTGTGTTACACTGGGGAGATCCTGTCAAAATATTATACAAATCTTAAGATGATAACGATTGTTATTTGCAGGAAAACCTACACTGGTCCAGAAAGTAGAACACAGAATTTGACTTAGAACTACCTTCAGCGAAATGTGCACATGAAAGATGTGTATCAACGTGAATGAAATGAAAGTGTATTGGGCGGATGAATGAATATAGGCCAAGTGAAAGTTTAATTGTCATCAACTGGATTGCTACAAGGATTACATTTTAAATAAGAAAATTAATTGGAAATTGTAAGCCAAAGTAAAATTACTAAGTTGATTTTATTAGTAATTTTCAGTTAATACAAAAAAGTAATTACTGAAATGAAGTAAATAAAAATTCTAGTCAATATACTGGTCAAAGATGAACAGTAAACAGCGCTTTGGGTATTTGCGTAAGAGTTGACTGGTATTTATTTCTCATGTACTATGTTAAGACATCTATCTCCTCTTCCCTATACAAAGGGGCTTCAAATGTTTGTGTAACAATGGAACTTAAAAACAATGGAATTCTTCCATCAACATTGTGAAGCCTCCTTCTATAAAAAATCTACCTTTATTCAGGGAAAATTGAGAAGCAGTCACTTAAAGTTGTAATGTAATAGACTGAGGTTAAAATCTAAAAAGGGAACATTGAAAATAATAAAATCCATAACCAAAGATATTTAGGGATTCCCCTCAGGTTTTCAGACTGGGTGATATTTTTAATGAAGAAATTCCAAGAGAGCATGCACACATGCATACACGTTTGTGCCTGTGCGCGCGTGCACACACGCACACACAGTATTTGATATAAAATGCCTTTAGTTGTCCTGTCTCAAGGTGTGTGACTATAATGCCTGGTCTAGTAACTGACTCATAATAGTTACTTAGGATTATTAGTTTCTAGAAATGAGAAATATGTTTGTTAAGTCTATAGAGCCATATCTCTCTTGTTTTGCATTTTACTTTATTGTTTCTTATTTCACAGGTAATTCGTGTGTGTTTATAGTTTACAAATTGAAGACTTGTGCTAGTCATGGGAGCAAGTCTGTTGGTGCCAGCATGTTCTCACTTTGTGTCTGTGTGCCCTATTTTAGTAATTCTGACAGTATTTCGAGCTTTCTCTATTGCACACTTAATAGACTACAGTGTAGTATAAATATAGCTTTATATACTGGGGTGAAAAAACAAAACGCGAGTGACTCGCTTTATGACATGTTTACTTCCTCACAGCACTCTGTACACTCCCTGTAATGTGCAGCTTGAGGTTGTTAAGGAGCACCAGTAAACTAAACCAAAAGGAAAATGTGCAAGTTAAATGGCATCAACTGGAAACAAACAGAGCTTCTCTTTGGGCCCAGCAGAAAATGCTACCCAGACGAAAGATGCAGCTATCGTGGCCATGTCATCGCCAGGCCAGAAAGGTGATTTCCTTGAATTTGCAATATCTCAACTTGCTATCAAGCAAACCGAAGAGGCAGAGCCTCTCACAACCTTGCCTCCAACACCTGTGCTATTCAAAGCCTTGTGCACTTGCTCTAGCTTGTGAGTCGTGATGTAGAATTGCAGGGGTCAGAGTTTGATTCAGGCAAACTTTTCCTTTACGGAGAGGAGGTCCGTTTGGTGCCACCTCCTCCTGTGGATAGCGATTGCTGCGTATCATGGTATAGCTGCACTGTACCGTGGCCACAATCAGAAGCGGACCGCACAAGCCACTTTATCTAGAGGACCCAGCATGTGGATGTGGGGAGTGAGATAGTCCTTGTAGTGAAGTCAATGGGCTACAGAGGTGGTGGGGTATGGTACCTGTTCCCCCACATGTCAACAAAAGGGCTTCCTCCATCTCCTTACCTGTTAGGGAACTGGTCCTTAGCTCACTCACTGGCCCATCTTTACCTTTGGCTGGTGTGCCTCTCTTTGAATCAAAGGAAGGCAGTCTTCTGAACAGGAGGATCTGGAGCCAGAAATGCTCCTGAGGATTCAGTAGCTGAGAAACCATGGAGATTTCTACATTCCCACTTACTTGTTGCCCCCAGGGCATACTGCATCCTGACTGAAGCTGTTTGAAAGGAAGCTTTGTTCACAGATGAATCATATGTCCAGGCTTCACAAAGACATTCTCTCGTAGAGGAACCTCAGCAGCATAATGGGTTAAACTTTGGGTTGCTAACCAGAGTCAGCCGTTCAAAACCACTAGCTGATATACAGGAGAAAGATAAAGCTTGCTACTCTCTTAAAGGGGTGCAGTCTCAGAAGCCCACAGAAACAGTTCTACTCTCTTCCTTAGGGTTGCAGTGAACCCAAATTGGTGGCAGTTAGTTAAGTAGGACAGCTTCTCATAGTCGATCCATGGATTCAGCAATATTTAAGGAAACCGCCTACGAAAATGCCTTAGTAATATTGTGCTGAAAAGAGTGCCTTTAGATGATGATTGATAAGACACATCTGTAAGTAGTGTGATGTTATCACGAACATCATTAATTTGAAGTTATCGCACATTTACACTTATTTCTAAAATAGAATCGGTCGTTAAACTGTCCAATTTAGTAGCAAAGAGCCTCTGGTAGCTGTTGTACATTGAAATGAGGCTGATTTGTAACAAGCTGCAATGTAAACGCATACTCAATTTCAAAAACTCTTTGAAG